GGAGCTCCTATGTCCATGATGGGGGAGGTGGTATAAGGCTGTAGGGCTCTGAGCACCCCAGCCTGGTCCCTGTCCCACCCCACCCCACCCGACCCTTCCCTGCACCCCATCAGGGCCCTGAGGGATCCGCCGCAGTCCAGGATGGTCTGCCTACCCCAAAGCCTGCCCCTCACTAGGAACAAGCAAGAGGGAGGCCAGTGGGGCCTCCCATCCACTCCAGCCTCCTTCTGGCTGTGGAGACCCAGACCACCCAGCCCCTGTTGTCTCTGCCCCGCCCCCAAGCGACTCTCTGGGGACACCATCCCCTCCTGCTCCCCATTGCTCTTGCTCCAGACACTCGCTGCCCCTCAGACTCACAGCCATCCCCCTCCCCAGATCTGCCCCCCCTGCCTCAGGGCTTCGAGCCAAGTCCCCCCCCCCCCCATTGATGTTATCCAGTGCTCTTGTGATGGCTCCCAGAACCCAGATGACCTTGAGTGCCCACAGGCGCCCCAGAGGTCATCAGGGCCCAGCCATGTAGACCTGAATCAGGAGACCAGTAGGTGAGTGCAAGTGTCCCCCAGCAACTCCCCTTGTGTCCTCCTGTCTCTCTCTCTGTCGCTCTCCCTCTCTCTCTCTCTCTCACACACACACACACACACACACACACACCGCACCCAAGGAGCTGAGTCACCCGGAGACTCCCCACGTACACTGTGCCCTTTGAGGGACAGTGAGTCACACAGTAACAGCAGCCACGTCAGATGGGCCCAGGGCACTGTCCCTGAACAGGTGCACACACACATGCATGTACACACAGTGGAGCTCATGGATTACACAGAGACACGTGTGTACATACACACACACACAGATACAGCCACAGAGTCACACAGACACATGTGCATGCACACACAGTGGAGCACATGGATAACACTGAGACACGTGTGTACACACACACACAGATGCAGCCACAGAGTCACACAGACACGTGTGCATGCACACACAGTGGAGCACACGGATCACACACACAGAGATGCAACCAGATTCACAAAACACGCACACATGCACCCAGTGGAGCATGCAGATTACACAGAGACACAGATGCAGCCATGCACATTCACACAGGCACACATAGTGGGGGACACACAGATTACACTGACATACCTATGTGTGCATACACATGTAGATGCAGACTGACAGTCATACATGCATGTATACCCAGTAAGGAACACAGATTACACACAGACACACACTTGTGCATACAGACAGGTGCAACCACACAGATTCATACCAACACACAGTGGAGTACACAGATTACACATATGCTGACACATATGCATGCGTGCACACACATTCATTTGTGGCCTAGTAAGGACCTTCTAGAGGAGAGAGAGGTGACCAGCAAATGGCTTGGGCTAAGGGAACTGGACCTCCAGAACCCTCTGGGGCCAAGGCCTGAGCTCCCTTGCCCTCCTTAGGTCCAAAGCAGCCTTTGATGGGCTCCAGTCTGGCCACAGGTCCTTTGCTCTTGAGACCTCCTGAGGGACCCCACAACTGCTCTGCCTGTGAGAATGCTGAGCGGCTTGTAAGCCCAGTCTCCCAGCTGGAGAAGCTAAGGTCTGAGGTTTTCTCACTGGCAGGATGCAGTGTGTGCAAGCTGTGGCATTTGTACCCTCCCACCTGTCCTGGGGTACCTGGTCCCTCTGCTGAGGGGCTTCCTGCATGCACCCCAGTTTCCATTCAACAGCCACTCTCAGAACAGCAGCTGTGAGGCTAGGACTCCACCTCAGGTCTCTAGACCACACCCAGAAGTTGTCATGCCTACTTGTTGAGAGTTGGTAACTGGCCCTCATCCTGGGAGAGTCCCCTTGGTCAGGAATGTCTGGGTGTCTCCCGAGTAAAGGGACCCTTTGAGCTGGCAAGGAGGATGGGGAGCCTTACTGTGGGGACCCTCTCCAGGGTGTAGTGTTGAGGACCTCCGCTGGGGTGCTCTGTGGGGTGAGATGGGGGCCCCCTATAGGGTGCTATAAGGAGCTGTGGTCGCGTAGTGGTTACTAATTGGGCTGCGAACCTTAAGGTCAGCAGTTAGGAACTCCCAGCTGTTGCATGGGAGAAAGATGAGGCTTTCTGCTCCCGTAAAGATTTACAGCCTTGGAAACCCTGTACAGGGTTGCTATGAGTCGGTTCCGACTCCCTGGCACACCACCACCACCATAGGGTGTTAAGTGGGGTGGACTGATCATCCTTTCCGTGTCCTCCTTGAGGTCTTTTACTGACACTAAGGGTCATGAACCGCGCCCCACCTCCCTCCAGTCCCTGGTCCTCTTTGCACCTCACCCACACACCCACTCACTGGATAGAGAAATGAGGTCAGAGGGGCCCTGATGCTCTTGGGGATGGGTCTGAGACTCCTGGTCCTGGACTCGAGTTTGAGGTAGACCCTGCCTGGCCAGACCCAGTGAGTGAAGCCTCCACTGGCCTACTGGTCACTGGTGTTCCGACCCAGGCGCTCTGCAACCCAGGGCAGCCCCAGGGCCTTCCCTGTCCCCACAGGCCTCTGCGCAGGGTCAGGTTGGACCTCACCTCTCCCGCTTTCAGGGGTGACTCTGAGCATAAGGAACATAGGGTCTGGCTTCAGGGTGGGGGCCAGGAGCACAGAGGACCCTGGGACACTAACTCCCATCACAGTGCCTGCCCCCAGGTTGCTGAGGTCGGTCACCTTGGGCCTGAGCCCCAGGGTCAGGGGTAGAACTCTCAGACCCTACCCCAATGGAGTGCCCGCTAGGCCTGGGGTGCCCACATGGCATGGTGCCTGGGCTCTCCTCTGTCCACAGAGCCAGGGGGCACCTGGAGGGGCTGAAGGAGGCTCAGAGCGCACTGTGTCATGAGAGGGCTCACGGGGCTCTGCTCCTGTGCCCATTGAGTGGACAGACAGGAGCCTTGAGGGGGTCCCCAGTCCTGAGCCTGTTTCCCCCATCAGGTTCCCACAGGGCTGGTTCCGGCCCTGGTTGGTGGGGTTATTGGGGGCGCTAAACAGGGCCTCCCAGCCCGGGAGCATTGCCCTTCCTCTCTCAGCACTGGCACCGAAAGAAACTGAGGGTTGGTTTCTGGGCTGCACATAAGGCAGGCACTTGGTGAAGGCTTAGTAACACAAGATGTTCCCTGACTGTCCAGCCGACCATGGACATCAGCTCCCCATCTGTAATGGGCAGCCCCTCAGCCTGTCCTCCCAGAATCTCAGAATCTGGAGTGGACTCTGGCCCCCCCTTCCTCCCCAGGGAGGAGTCACAACTTCAGGGGACCCCAATTCCCTTCCCCAGCACCCCAAGGCCAAGTGTCATTGGTACCCAGCAGGCACGCTCCCAGCATCACATGGGATACACTTGGGGTCCAGAATTCTGCAGTGTCCACTGTGGACTGGGCCCACAGGGATGCCTCTGAAATCTCACTGTAGTCCAGGCAACCCACACCCCTCCTAGTTCGAGACTACCATCCCTCCTAGTTCAAGACAAGCTCACGTTAGGGGCTGCGAGGGGCACTTTGCCCAGGAGACCGTCTTGCTTCTTCATGGTGTGGGGCAATGTCCAAAGCCCCCATTTAACTGGAACGCCAGTCAAGTCGTGGGTACCCCCAAATCACAGGAGCTCCCTGTGATGAGAGGGGCAGACTGGGAGTGGGTGTAACGGCTCTGTGGTGAGATCAGGGACGGAAGGGGCTGCTGCATGCTCACAGGACAGGGCTGAAGGTGTGGTGGGGCCAGCTTCCTCTGGCCTTTGCTGACCCTGACCCCTCCCCCATCTTCATATCTGCCCTCCACGCTGCCCCCACCCAGGGGTCATTCCCTCAACTGTCTCTCACTAGAGCCCCAAGGGAGTCTCCCATCCTCCACTGCTTAGCACCAACCCCCTCCCATCCAACTGTCCTCCTCTGCCAGCCCCAACTAGGGACCACCCAACTTCCAAGGCACCTTAGAGAAAGGGAGGCCAGGATCCAGCTACACAAATCTGGCATATGCGGGAACCATCAAGTAGCCCCTAGTGGATCCCAGGCCCCGCCCCTCCCTCACAGAACCTCCCCTTTTCTCACGCAGGTCCGCAGCCCAAAAATCACCATATGCCTATATATACAAAAGAATTTAATTGAAATGCCTGTATAAAAAATATGACCTCCATACATTTCACACTTCCGAACTGAAAGAACCCCCCCACGATGCCTACACACACCGGGGTCACAGAAACACAGCTGCTAAAATAAATTAAAGGCTTGCGACTCTGTCCCACCCCAACCCCCAGCTCCTAGAGCCAACAAGCAAACTGTACAGGATCAATAATTTAAAACCCGCCACCCACACAGCCCAGGACGGCGGCACCACCCCCTCCCCTTAAATTAGCCACTGTACAAGGTCATCTTCCGGCAGACACAGGTGGGAAAGGGGACAGACAGCAGGCAAACGATCAAGACTTGGGGGTCAGGACCCTGTGCCCCCCTTCCTGCCGCCCCAGGGACCTGAAGGGGGCGGGGCCGCTCACACAGAGCAACCTCAACAAATAAATTAAACCAATAAATAGGCGCGGGGGCGGGGCCGGGGCCATGGCAAGGGGTCACACTATAAATAAGACGGGCCCCGCGCGCCCCTTGCATTGCTTGTGCAGAACATGCCCAGACGAACACCGTGAGACTCGGGGAGGGGGCTGAGTCCTGGACCACCCACACAGCACTCTGGATCCAGGCAGGGCAGGCGGGCGGGACAGCTGCCTCCGGGAGCAGTGCAGGGCCGGGCCGTTCGGTCTTGGTCTTGGGGTCAAGCTTTCACTCTGCGGGTGGGCAAGGCCTCGATCAAGGGGGCCTCTTTGGACCGGCAGCGCTGGAGCAACCAAGTCCCGTGGGAGCAGCGTTCGAAAAGGCACTCAAAGCAAAGGAAACCGAGGCCAGGGCCCCGGCCAGTCACTGCGCTGGCCTGGAGGTGGCCAGGCTGAGGCGTCTTTCTGGAGCAGCCAGCACACACACTCCCGTGCTGCCCCTCACAAGCTCTCACTACTGGAGGTGGTACTGGCGCCATCGTCGGGGTGCATGGCACAAAGCCGCAGGTCACAGGTCTCCAGGGCGCCGTCGGCCCCCAGCATCCAGGGGTGGGCGGCAATCTGCTCTAGGGTGGGCCGCTCGGAAGGGCGAAGGGACAAACACCACTCAATCAGCTGCTGGCACTCTGCGGGGAGAAGGGAATTAGTTAGACAAAGAAGCCAGGGCCTCCCAGAAGCCCGGACCCCCAGGAACCCAGCTCATGTACCTGGGGAGACCCTCCTGCGGAAGAAGAGGCGGCCCCGCAGAATCTCCTCATCCTGTTCAAAGGGGATGTCCCCGCAGACCATGTCGTAGAGCAGCACACCCAGAGACCATACGGTGGCAGATCGCCCATGATAGCGGTGGTAACGGATCCACTCCGGCGGGCTGTACACCCTAGTGCCTGCCAAGGGCACACAGGAATGAGGCTGCCATCCCCAATGCACACACAACCCAGAGCTGCGCAGACGCGCCTGCCAGGAGAGGCAGCCTGGAAAAACTCCGGCGGCCAGCCTGCTGGCGCGGCCCTCCAAAGGGAGGCACCAGGGCCGGCCCCGCCCCCGCAGCTGGCCCAGTGGGGGAGGCCCGGGGTCACATGAGCGCATGCTCGGGTTTCACAACAAACAGATGTGAAGTAAGGATACGGGAGAAGTAGTCTGACGGGTGGCGCGGAGGCGGGAGGAGAGGGGGTGGTGCGGGATGTCTGCGCCCCCGCCCGGCGACTGCGGAGCAGGGAGGCGGGGGAGTTGGGCGGGGAGCCCGGGCTTCCCCGAGCTCCGCAATGCGGGGATCTCTGCTGCGGCACCCCCGCGCTCAGCACGCACGCAGCACCGCCCCCCACGCAGGGAAGGCCCAACCACGCGGGGGCTCCCCGCTTCTCCAGCGCAGACGCGCGGTCACTGCCAGTGACACACACTCCCGGGCCCCGGCTGCGTCACGCCGCCCCCAGCCCGCTATCACACGGCCTTGAAGGCTCCCACGCGCCACCGTCACGAACTGACTCGTGATCACTGGCTCGCAGCCCCCCACCTCCCCCCGCGCCGCGCGCAAAGTCTCAGCCCCAACAGTCGCGGCTCTCTGCGCCCCCTCCCCCAGCGGGCGTTAACCCGCCAGCCCGGGGAAGGTGGGGAACGTTGGCGGCCCGGCCCTCCGGCCGCCCGCTGCGCTCACCGTCAAAGTCCGTGTAGACCGTGTCCTTGAGCAGCGCGCCCGAGCCGAAGTCGATGAGCTTGAGCTCGCCCGAGCGCAAATCCACCAGCAGGTTCTCGTCCTTGATGTCGCGGTGCACCACCCCGCACGCGTGGCAGTGGCGCACCGCAGCCAGCACCTGCGTGAAGAAGCGCCGCGCCAGGGGCTCGGCCAGGGCGCCGCGCTCCGTGATGAAGTCGAACAGGTCCTGCGCCGGCTCGGGCCGCTCCAGCACCAGCAGGAAGCCGTCGGGCCGCTCGAACCAGTCCAGCAGGCGGATGACGCCGCGCGCGCCGCCCGCCGCGCCCACCTTGCGCAGCAGCACCACCTCCAGGGGCACGGCCGCGCCGCCCTGCGGGAAGCGGCGTCAGCACACAAAGCGAGCGGCGCGGCCGGCGTAAACAATGCGCCCGGGCCCCGCGCCCCGCGCCCGCACTCACCAGACTACCCCACTCGGTCACTCGCTCCTTCACCACGTGTTTCACGGCCACCTGGGGATGGGGGACGCGGAGGTCAGGCCGGCGCGGGGCACGCAGAGGATGCGCGTGGGGCCCGCCCGGCTGCCAAACTCACCGGGAGCCCGTCGGCGAGGCGGCTGCCCGCGTAGACGGTGCCGAAGCCACCGCTGCCCAGCACGGCGCCCACCTGGTACGCCTTCTCGAAGCTCTCCTTGTCCGCCTTGGCTGCGGGGCGCACACAGGGCGGGGTTGGCGACAGACCGTCCACCCGCCCGCCGGTGCCCACCCGCCCTGTCCAGCCGCGGCCCCGCACGCCCACCTGGCTGCAGGATCTTCACCGGGAGGTGATCCACGCCGCCGGGCCCGCACAGGTGCGCCAGGGAGCCAAACTTGGAGAGCAGCATCGCGGGCGGCGGCGGGG